TTACTTCCTGGTAACTTTTAGTTGGCTAGGATTTCAACAGGTTGTTCGCATCCATCAAAAATGCTGAAGTTTGAGACATTAAATAACAAACAGAGTAGATCCACACTAAAAGACACATTTGCACAAAACCAAAATCATCTCTTCAACAATGTTGAAAGTCAAGAAATGAACTTTAACAATTTTACTGATATTTGTAGAACTGTAGAGATATTGTTCACATAGTTTAGTACGATTTGGTTGTTCACTGTTAAAATAAAAGGGACTTTGATGAAAATATCCAGCTTACTTTCGAGGTTCCAGTGGGACATGCAAATAACTGTGTCAACTCATGTTTTCAGGTTATCTAAAATACCACTCTTATAGAGAAAAGCAATTCATTGTCTGTTAAAACATGGGTACTACAGGTACAACATTTGAGAAATGTGTCAAAATCTATGGCTTATTTCCTTAAGTTATCTTAAACAGGAATTTAAGGAGATATAACGTACATCACAGTGTCTATCCACAGGGTGACAAACATCATATAGGCTTATTTTGCTATTCCTTGAGCAGATAACCTCAACAAAAATATATATCTTCGTGAGAAAACTTTTGCAAAAAACGTTTACATCATATCTGTGTCTTTTTTCTATAAGTATCAGACGACAAACTAAGATTTGATTTTAAGGAATTGCAAATGTCTGCCCCCTTTTTTGTTACATTTGTCACTATTTTGTCCTTCTCAATGTAACAACTTCAGAAGATTTATCTTATGAGTATATTACAAACCAAATTAAATAAAATAACAAACCATTCATTAGAAAAGTCGTTTTATTTTGCTGAAATGAGAGTGAAAAGACTGTCTGTCTCCAGGTTATGATAGATGTATGCGACAAACATTAAATCTGTCCATGAGTAACAAATGTTACTCATTGAGAAAAACTTAAAGTATTCATTTAAGCTGAAGTTTAAATGTAGTCTTTTTAACAAATATGATTTTGAAAACTGAAAAAAAAAAACAAGTTTGGTTTGTGAAAAATTCTGTTTTTATTATCTAATTCAAACACTGGAAAAATGTCTCTCATGGTGGCATACGTTATATCTGTCCATGTGACAAACGCTACATTTTTTCTTGAAATAAATTTCAGTGTTACCTACATGGGAATTGTTTTGGGGATGGGCCGTGCTGGGAAGATTTCTTGTAAAACATGCATAAACAAACACATAAAACAAACATAAATATAACAAGAAAACACATCTGTATAATTTCAAAATGCGCGGAAATATGTTAAAAATTATAGTTTTCATGACCTTATCTCCCTCTCCTCTCAGAGCAAAAGCTCAACAACAGCCACCGAGTACTGAAAGTTGTCTGAAATTCCCAACAATCATGACATCATAGGACAGAGTCGTTTTTCCAGCGACTGTTTACTGTTATGCAATGACGCGTCGATATGTACGTAATGCAGTAGCGTTGGCGTGTGCCATCATGTCAGACTCAAGCAACGATAATTCCAGCATTGGTGCTTTTTCTGATCATGACAGCCATCAGTTTAATGTTTGTCTTTTTCATTTGACGAATAAAGCGACTTTGAAGGAGATTACGCGGCACAAGAAATATTGCCTTATCAGTTCGAGACAAGAATACAGTCAGGAAGAGATTTTACAACTCAAGGCTGTTGGCCACGGGCATGGCGGCGACCCAGAGGACCGACAACAAAACACTGACTAATTTTGAATTTTTGCCCTGCCCGACGTGTATTACAACACTGTATACTCAGTGTTTGCCCCCAAAGGCTTGTGAGAAAACCCACAAGCGTACTCGGGTGGGACTCGAACCCACGACCTCTTGCTTACTAGTGCAGGCGGCTTAACCACTCGACCACCGAGCTTGCCGGTGTCAGCCGGCTGGTTCGATGGAAGGATGGCAAGCTCGGTGGTTCCTGGCGCAAATCCATCCTTTGAAAAACACATTATAAAAATTTGTCTTTCTGAAAAACGTACCATGTACATGTAATTGTCCTACCATTGGCTATTCGATAGCTGTATTCGCTGATGTTTGATAAATCCTCTTTTAACCCTAACAGTCCCTAATGCTACAAAGTACTACTTAGTAGTAAAATGTAGTACTCAGCCCTGTTGCTTGTAAGAGGACATGACATTATTATTCTCTGAAGCCATAAAATACAATTGAGAAGACAATGTACCATACAGTGCTGTGGCACTATGAATGCAGGTTTCACTGTTCTCTGTAAGAGTAACAACGGAATAAACCTAACCAGAAATAGTAATTTGTAGCGCTAGGTCCTTCAGGCTCAGAGTGTTACTTAGTATTTTGTAGTACTGAGTACTCTAAGCAAAACAATGCCTGGTACTGTTAGGGTTAAAGTGAACGAGTGCGTAAAAAATGGAAAAATTGGCATTTGCCGAGCAAGAAAAATGAGGAAAATCTGGCCCGTTGATGACCAAAAAGCAGAAAATGAAATTCGGCATATTCAACAAAATGCAGCACTCATCTCTAAAAAATGAAAAGCGCAGAGCACACCAAGCTACCTCTTCTCCAAAAATATGGGTTACTCATTCCGAAGTAGAAATGAAAGAATTAGTTTTTTTCCAGAGATTGCAGCCAGAGCACTCATACTACCTCATGAAATAGTCATCGTTCATAAAGCCGAGCAAAGAAAATAAACTTGCGCTTGTGCTGGTGATGTGCCACTGGAAACACTTATTTGAAATGTATCAAGTTGGGATGGTCAGAGCTGAAGCATTTACTTGAAAAACACTTGAGCACCAGGCCTAGGTTATTTCAGACAAGTCTGATAGGTTTATGCATGTTATGCCCCATCTATAGCATAAGTCCCAACTATAGTTTGGACAGTCCCAGCTGCAGTGCTGCAGTTGGGCTGGCCCAACTATTGTTGACCCATGTCTGTGGGAAATGTCTCAACATTATCCAAGTCAATGTGTCTCACACTTGACAAAATTCATCTAAAATGTGGCACTTTATCTGTTCATTTAGCCATATGACCGATGACATGACATTTGTAAACGATATGACTTTGGCACATGCTGGGCACATCATGCCCACAGGCGCTGCTGTAGTTAGGTCGGCCCAACTGTGACACTCTAGTTGGGACGGCCCAACTATAGTTGGGACTAATGCTTTAGTTGGGGCGTAACATGCACAAGGGCATCAAGTTTTGTTCGTATATGGAACCCTTTCCAGACCAGTCACACCGGTTCGTTGTGCTCAACATGCTCAAGCGGCATCCATCATGTAGGCCTAGGCTACATAGAATCCATTCCAGGAAAGAGCAAATCACGTCACTTGTGACTTGAAAGAAAGTTGAATGTGTAAGAACTTCGAAATCTCAACATGCTCAACGGGATGTACATTACACGTGACCATGATGTGACTGAGCTTAAAATCATTGTACAAACACCGCATTGTAACACGATTTGCTCCACTGAATATCTCAGGTCATACGCTCTGACATGATGTGTAATTTCAAGTTTTGAAAGTTTAATTTGGGGTTTAAATAACATGTTACCAACTGGCTGAGAACATCACGAACTTAACATTAATAAAGTTTAAAGTAGCCTACAGTCTGGTTTAGTTATTACACAGGCGCCTACCTGCGCTGCCTACTGTCGAGACCACTGTTTTGAAGAGGAAAGGAGATCCAGCAGTCCAGATATTAACAGTTGTTCAATGGAAGAAGTCAGATTTTTCGCAACTGCGAACTCGTTTGAGCACAGCGTCGTCGTCTTCAGCCGAGGAAAGGCTCCTATTAGCGCAAGGATTTCGCAGGATTTTTTCTCTAGTTGTCGGCGAAGCTTCGTCGCAGTAATTTTGAGTCGCGATCCTGGATGAGGTCGAGGTCAATCGACTGATGCGCATGCGTTATACAATACATAGGGCCGGCCGGGGGGGTTGCTATCTCGCGGGTAATCGGCACTGAGAAAGTGAAACGATTACACGAAATTATATGGAAGTAGATTACCAGTGAAATATATCCCAAGCATTATTTGCATAATAAAGGCTGTGTCTCAATCGGGATTTTCTTGCCTACGGCTTCAGTTTTCATTAATATTGTGCCATGGATAGCAGCCTTAGCCGTATGGAGACAACTTTTCATTCACCTCAAACATTGAGCACTGGCGCGCGCACGCAGCCTGAGCGCGGCAGCAGCAGCAGGTGGGCATGGCATGGGGGAAAGGGGGCTTGGGTGAGGAGGTGAACCAGGTCGAAGGCATAAAGTAATTTCGCGATTTGTTTCTTCAATGCTGAAAAATCAGCCCCTGTAATATGTTGATTTCGCATTACGGAGAATGTTTCATTTCCGTTAATTCTAAAGGTGAGGCTTAGCTTTCGGTTACATATTATGACAATTTTTCTTCAGATAGAACCATAGAGCAAGGACACGATACAACATACAATGAGTTTAGGAATTTTGGATTGGGGAGTGTCATTTGTCTTAAGTTAATGGGGTTTGACTTTGCTTCCGTTTTGCCATCTTCAGCGGTATATGTTCTCAAACAAACAGTGAACAAACTAACATAACCAAACCAAAACACAAAACTGTCTCCATTTGATGCATCGTTGCACTGTTTGTCGCGACTTTGCAAGTCGTCCTACCACCGAGCAAGGAACAGAAGCGGGGGGGGGGGCTAGGGGGTTTAGCCCCCTCCACTTCAACTTTGTCAACCCCCCCGCAAAAATGCAAAAGCAGCAGCGAAAGTTAAAAGGTTACGAAAGATGTAGCTCCCCTTGAAAAACTGGCTTTAGAACTGCGCCTGGCAAGGAACAATGGTACTTTTCTTTGTAATTGGTATCAGTAGCAAAATAAATCATTTTGCTTGATCATGGAGATGGTTTGATTACAAAAGTTCGGGAGCAGTGTGTGTGACGCGTGACGACTTTGACGGGGCAATCATCACAACGCAAACTTTTGGGAATCCTGTTGTGCGCCCTCAGCGGTTAAGCAGGAACATTTGTAATATTTTATTTAGCACAAGAATTTTTACCACGTTTTGCAGTTGCTATTTTTACTGATATAAATATTTCGAAACACTAAACACTAAAAGATCATTTCGGTGGTTTTTATTGATAATAATTTTGGTAGATTAGATATTGAATTCAGGTGTGTCAATTTTTATATTTTTAAACCCAAATGTACACATGATAAAATCCATTTATTAGCAGAACATCGCGCGTTGATCGTGTGCTTGACGTTGTACTTCTGCATTAATCTTATGCATGTACCTGTTTTCAGGCATCTGAAAAGTGCAAACGATGTCAGATTTAGATATTTGCAAGTTGGCATATGATGGCGAGTTTTCTGCCTTGAAAGAAAGAATTGAAGCCGACAGGAGTGTGGTTAATCAGTTGGACAAGGTCAGATTCGAGTTAAAACGTGACAATGTATACTTTTGTGTCAATGGCTGTGGCTCGCTAAATAACACGTAGGCCTACCCCACCAATGTGAATGGACGCCTCGTTAGCGGCTACGTGTAATGATGTAGGCCTAGCTGCAAGCAACGTCGGAAATCTCGTGTGTTGCTCCCTGCCCCCCCCCGGGGGACTAAAAGTTTAGGGTCGCGGCCATAACTTAATTATTAGGTTCTACTTAGGTTAGGCCTAGCTTGGGCCTAGGAAGGTCATGTTGGTAGGCCTAACCAGAGGCAGAACTGCTGTTCTTTACGCTGTTGTCACATTTTGGGAGCTGGGTCCCTCCCTCATATTTTCTTCCCCCGCCCTCCTTTTTCCCCTCTCTTTTAATTAATGTATTTTTAGGGAGGAAAGGGGGGGGGATTTATCCCCCATGCCCCTCCCTGGATGGATCCACCCCTGCAGGTCATAGGCTAGCCCTATATCCTATAAAACCTGTTCAGTTATTAAAAACAAAAATAATAATAATTATTAGATAAAATAATAAAAAGATATGTTCAAATGCACTGCACAATGAAGACATTAAGCGTGGAACAATGAATACATTTAAACGTGGTTGAGCCGATGGCATACAAGGCCATTTGGCGGCTGCCCGAGGGCGCCTCGGGCAGCCGCCAAACGGCCCACATTCACCGACATCAGTAATAGAAGAGAAAATAAGAGGCAGTTACAGTTTTAGAGATGGGAGGAAAACCCCAGAGGAATAGTCTGGGTAAAACCCACGGAGTCTGGTAGGGACTGGAAACCCAATCCACGCGTGGACCGGGCCAGGAATCGAACCCGGACCGCAGCGGTGGAAGGTAAGGAAAGACAGTGCCAACCCTGACAACCAGACTACTAATTTCATAGCTGAAAAAATTTCACTCATGACATAGGCTAGTAATAGATTATTAGGACTACTTTTCGTCAGTCCTACGCAGCCCTATTTCCTGCACGTTCTATGCACTCACCTTAGTAGACACGTGCTATTGGTTTTGTCTGTGTACAGAACTTTTGCAAAAGACCCCCAAATGTTGGTACATGTAATTATTGCTGAACTGTCATGACTGTTAGTTTAGATGTAAAATAAACCAACAGCCCTGCTTGCCTGACTCTTTCTTAAATTGTTACTCAACAGAGTGACCGAGCAGTTCTTCACTGGGCAGCATCTGGGAAACATTTTGAAATTGTACAGTATCTTCTAGAGCTGAAGCCCCCACCAAACGTCAATATTAAAGATGATGTGAGTGTCAATCCATCAACCCTGACAGTTTTCAATTTTCTAAATTCGGGAGGATTCAGGAGTCAGGACTATTGCGGCCAACCCCAGGCCTATAGAGGGCCTACATGGAGCGCCTTCACAGAGGACATGTTTTGTTAGTTAGATTTAGATGGCAGTGAAGTACTGCAGTGTCTACTCAAGCATATCACACAGGAACAAGGACCTGTCCTCAGTGAGGGCGCTCCACGCAGGCCCTTTGTCTCATGTTGACCCCTCAGATAATTATTCATGATAGCACAGCCTGTAGAGTACAAGTGAATATATCACACGCACAAGCCTATTTGTAAAAGACATCAATGCAAGAACTAGCATGTGCAAGTATTACATTCATTTGTAAGGCACTTCCTGGTTCTGAATGATGTCACACCTTGGTACTCTATAGAGGCTTTGTGTGGTTGCACAGTAGTTCTTTTGTTCCACAGGGAAACTTCTTTTGTGCACATACTGTCGAACAAAAGCACTGGCCTGCAAGATGGCAGCTAAGCAAACCCTCTATAGAACATTTAATTTGAGGTACATTGGAGAGGCACCAAGTAACTGCCAAGCCATTCTTAAATTTGTAACTTGATTTGAAGATATCATTTGAAACGTTTGGTGCGGTCAGTTGATCTGCATGGTCAATCAGTTGCACTGGACTATTGGTCAATCCTGTTGGATATCTTTTCAAACAATCTTCCACAAGCATGCATTTTGAAAGAGCAGGTGATTCGCTGTTGGTGGAAGGATCACCAAAATGTGTTCCAAGATTGGCCTGACATGAAACTCTGGGAATGGATGGAAAATGCTTAGGTTTGAAGCGTTCCTGTCACTAACAGTGTTATTGATTGGAGATCATGCCAAGGCTCACTCCAGCCACCCTTTTAGTTTTAATTTCTTATATTCTGGAAAATGGCATTTTGGGTTTATCTTTGTGGATGTGCTTTTTATTGCTTTTGTTAATTTTGGAGGGAAGGGTATTTCCCATTCGCAATATTTTCCCTTTTCAATTTTGCCAAGTACCCCACCCGAAAAACTGCCCTGAGCTTGGTGCTTTGACTGTACTTTCATCTGTTGACACAGAGCAATTGGACGCCACTGCACATCGCATCGTCAGTGGGCCAGGAGGAGATTGTGACTGCCCTCATAGGTCAAGGGGCAGAGGTCAATGTAGCTAACAGGACAGGTCAGACACCCCTGCACTATGCCGCATCCAGGGACCGCCAAAGAGTAAGTATTGGCAAACAGCCTGGTTGGGTGAAGACTTTACGTCATCCGGCCAGTGATGGTAGAAAGTTCACTCTTCACGTTTGCTTCTTTGATGTTTGGGGAGGTATTTTCTTGAAATATTTAGTGCTTGGCATTTTGATACTTGTGTGTGAGATTGTATACTGATGGCTAGCCGAGGTTTGCCAACCTCTGATAGGCAAAACAGTTGCTGTATTACGGCAAAATAAAAATCCATACATAAATGGACAATATAATTATAGGAATTTGGTTGTTTTGTACAGGTTTGATATGAATGTGTTTCTCCCTGCCGTGTTTAAGTTTTGAAAAGGAAGGGAGTTTCGGGTAGAAGATACATTTTGTTCTTAAGTTCTCATTCATCCGTTTGAGTACTGTTTTCTAGACATTTCAACTGATTGAGATTCCAGGCATCCAATCTTTAAAAGCCTTTCTTCGATTGTTGGTTGGTACAGATAACAGAAAAACTGCTTGAGCATGGTGCCGATGCCAACATTGGGGACCAGACTGGGGCGACCCCCATGCACCGGGCTGCCTCCAAGGGGAACCTTGAGATTGTCAAACTCCTACTCAACTACAACTGCAGGCTGGACTTGCAAGATTGTGTTGGAAACACTCCACTGTGAGTACTGTGTACAGACCAATCCGAGGAGACTCAGTGTCTGAAGTAGCATCACACTCATGCACCTGTTCATCAACTTGAAGCACTTGTGCACTTTGGCAAGTCAGTCAAGTCACACCACCCTGGTGGTGGAAGAGGCATTGATCGCTCATGTGACCTGTGCGTGAACATGGCACCGCTGCTGTAATGGCATCTACTTCTGGTTCCCATATGAGTCTGTGGGCCAAGGGTATGACGAGCTTAACAGCGACAGTTGCTACTAAAATTGTTACTTTCGGAAATGAAACCTAGGATTCCTTGAAAATGTCTACTGCACCCATAGGTGAACTAACCTGTGGAATGAAGGCAGTGGGTTGTATTCATTCAGTCTTAGGGATGGTTGTTACACGTTCAAAAGTGTATGGCATCGGTAAGGTATTGGGAAACTGAGCCACATTGATTGATTGATTGATTGATTGATTTGAACCTGGAATCACAAATCTGTGCTTGCACACAATCAGTACACAGTCAGGTTGTGTACATTTTTCTAGGTTTCCTAGGCTTTTGGGTAAACTATCAGCATGCTGCACAATCTCTACGGGTTTTGTTTCAAAGCTCCGATCCATTTGTCCCTCCCCATGGTGTTTTGAACAATCACAGCTGTGATTAATGGTCAGGATTTCAGCCAGGAAGTTTAAATAAATAGCCAAGGCTTTTCTCAAACACATTAATTGAGCCACTTACATGTTTATGTAGTGATATATATACAACTGTTTTCTCGACCTTCACTACTCAGGATGATCCCCATAGTTTGTAAATATTCATTATTTATTGGCAGTAGCAAGTGGCTTCCTAATTTGACTCCTGTGGTGAAATAGTAATCACACCCTGCAACAACAAATTTCTCCACTTTCATCTCTGATTGTTAACACGCCATAGCTTCTTTTCCTCACCTTTCAGCCATTTGGCATGTGAAGAGGAGAGGACGGAAGAGGCTACCTTGCTAGCGCAGCACGGAGCTCCATTGCGCATTCAGAACAAGGTACGGACAAAGTCAGAAAAAGCATCCCTTGCTCATCAACTTGCTGGCAGTTATTCCATGCATGAGAACGTGCTGGAAGTCTGGAAATGTTGATGATTAACCACTTCCTGCCAGGGATTCCGGAACCCTACACGTATGCTTTATATGCGTGGCCGGGGTCTCCGAACCCGGAGAAAGGGTACAGGGCCTTGTAACAAAATACCCTACTCGGAACAAAAGACCAGGCTGCTGGGAATTACCGACATTTTTTCACTCTCAAAAGTGGAGTTAATCCAGCCTTGTTTTGAAACAGTATACCACAGTTTGGGGCATTTAGAGCGAGCGGATTACCACCAGGGACAAGCGCTCCACCACCGCAGCAATGAGCCACACAGCACC